CAGGAATGACGTTGCATGAACGCTTTACTAAATACCTAAAGAGAGGAACTGAGCAGGAGGCAGCTAAAAACAAGAAAAGCCCAGAGATACACAGGTGAGCACCTCAGCCTTACACTGGAGGTTGTAATAAAAGGCTTTTTATCCTATATCGAACTCATCTTGTTAAATTCTGCTGCCGATGCACCTTTAATGCAAAACTTAGGGTAATAGCCTCTAGACTCTAGGATAGCTGTGGGCATGTATATTTGAGAATGGAAGGAGGGATATGCTTTGAGGACTATGGGCTTCTCCCGTTTGTGGCCTGAGAAAAACAGCTCTTTTGATACAGATGAACTGCTGTATTCTTGGAGCTGGCAAATGATAAGATGAGATTACTGTGAGCTTTCTATAGAGTAAATGCTATAATAGTTTCTTTAAGCAAACCCATGTATTTCATGATAGTTCTAAGTATCACGGGGAGTGGAGTGGGGGAGCTTGTAGGATTATCTCAAAGGGTTTAAAACTCAGCTGGTTTAAAGAATATCCCATTTGGTTGTGCAAATCTTTCCAGCAAATAGGGACTACAAACAAAGTTGGCCTTATCTATGATTCCTCAGTAGTTAACTCTTTTTTTTTTTGAGACAAGAGTCTCATTTTGTTGCCCAGGCTAGAGTGTATGCTATGGCATCAGCCTAGCTCACAGCAACCTCAATTTCCTAGGCTCAAGTGATCCTACTGCCTCAGCCTCCCAAGTAGCTGGGGCTACAGGCATGTGCCACCATGCCCAGCTAATTTTTGTATATATATTTTTAGTTGATCGATTAATTTCTATTTTTTTTTTTAGTAGAGACGGGGTCTCTCGCTCAGGCTGGTTTCGAACTCCTGACCTCGAGCAACCTGCCTGCCTCGGCTTCCCAGCATGCTAGGATTACAGGCGTGAGCCACCACACCTGGCCTAGTAGTTAACTCTTGAACCTGTCAAGTTAGGTAGAAAGACTGTGTTTATATAGCAGCCTTAGATTTAGGATCTGTCCAGATTTATGTCATTCCAGGCAGCTGCTTTGCACCTAGACCGAATCTTATAGAGGAATAATGGGACCGTTTCTTGTAATTCTCAAGATAAAAACTGCTCTTGGAGGTTAGCAGGGCATAGATAGGGCTATAGCTAAGGTAATAGGCCTGGTTATAGGTGAGTCCATTTTACTGCCTGTAGCAGGAAGGAACAAAACTGGCAGGGAATAAAAATCCTCTGACTTATGTTAGAGTTTGACTAGGAACTTAAGATTTTGTGTGTGTGTATGTTCCTATTCCTGCCTACGGGAAAGTATAAGTATGTAAGTAAAGAATATAAGTAATAACGTACATAAGTTATGAAACATGGTAAAAAGGAATGCCTGTAAGTCTGTTACCCAACTTAGGAACTAGAATGTTACCATTACTATATTCACACTATGGAACATTGTATAGTGTTTGTGTTTTCAATTTTAGGAGGATAGACATTTCCCCCAGTACATTCAGAAAACATGGTTTGGCTCATGATGAAATGAAAAGTCCCCGGGAACCTGGCTACAAGGTGAACTGTTGCTTTGATCAGTAATTCCAACAAAATGAGTGCGTTGGGCATGAACTTGACAGAAATGTGTTTGTTTAAATTACTCTCTACTTAAGTTTGTGTTTTTCTTTTAAGGATGGGCATAATTCTAAAAATGAACTACAAAGGGTTAATTTTTATTAAATGTATCAACAACCTTTGTGAAGTGGTTAGAATATGGTAAATGACCCCAAAGTCTGTTGAGGTGAGCTTGAGAAAAAAAAGAGAGGAGTTTTGGAACAAGTGCCCATGATGAGAGAAGAAACTTTTTGTGATATTTTTCTGCTTGTAAGTATTATCAAATCAACTGTATACATGCACTATTTCCAACCATGATTTCAAAAAGACATGCATGTCAGAGGAGAGTGAAATATTCATATCTTAACTTAGTAGACTGTTTTAAACAGCTGGTCTAGTTTTTTTCCTAACATTGTACCATTATCTATCATCTGTTGGTTACTGTTACTTTAAAGCTAAACATTACTTTGATGGCCCAGCTACATTTGCAATGATGTGCACGTAAACACTGTTATTAAGAGGTTAAAGCTTGTATGCAATCTTTTACTGTGAAATAACTAGATTCGGTTTTTAAAGTCTTAATATTTATTGATCTTCATTTACATATAGAGTTGAAATTTAAAATTAGAAATGGCTCTTCTATTGCTGCTGATAACTTTTCTAAAAATATTAATTTTCAAGTTCTCCAAACAACTTAATCTAGCTGGTTGAATGTGATGAGAGGCACTCTTGGGCAGTCTCTCTTCTTTCCCCACCCCCCTTTTCTCTTTCTCCAAGTACCCATCAGCTTGGCACTAACCATGTAAAACCCAAGGTTTTGAAATATCAGAAGAGATCTCATCCTCCATGCCTCAAAAACTCAACTCATTAGAGTTGCTGTTTGTACTGCCCAAGGGAGCAGCAGCTGCATTGGTCTTTTTGTCTTTTTTTTTTTTTTATCTTGGAGGATGCAGAGGCCTCATTCCTTCTCTTAGAAACAGATGAAGTGATAAAATAGTAATCAATCTATTTCTGTTACTCCTGCTATTAAACTTTATTTCAAAAAGTTTGGTAGTTCATGTAAGTACAATGTTAATACAGAGTGAACTGCTCATTTCTCCTTCCTTTAGAGAAGATTTACTTCCTTGAGACAAATTCTATTATATGATGTCCCTGAAACTACCTTGCATCTTTGCCCCCACTGAGTTTCCTGAGAATTGTCAAAAGCCATTGCTGTGATGGTCTGGGCTGGTGTACCGTTGTTGCTCCTGGGTTCATACTGTATCTGCAGCATATCCTGACGGTTAAACTTCCTAGGAAGTTAACAAAAAAATTTTTCTTCTTTTTTTTTTTTAAAGTAGACTTTGACCTGGTACTGCCAGTTTATGAATTATCCATTATAGTTTTTGATATTTCTTGTAGAGAAACTTCTCAGTATAGCTCAGCATTTTGGAAAGCTGCTTAAATCTTCCATTGTCTCTCTCTGGACTCAGCCCTGAGAGATAATTCCAAGTAGAGGATAAGCCGTGGGTGACTGCTACAGTGTAGGTAGGGGAAGATGAGCATTTCTACTCTTAGTGGTGACTAAGCCTGAACCAGCCCAACCACCCACGTTCCAGAGCTAACTTTAGCCCTCTCACTTTTAGACTAGACAGTCATTAGTGGGCCACAGAAGCAACAAAGTGAAATCAATATATAGTATTTTCAGAAGGCTACCGTCCTCATTGTTTTAGGGAGCTGGTTTGGGTGCTATAAGGGATCATCATGAAATAACTTTGTGGGACATCTTGCATTCCTCCCAAGATTGAGTGAGGTGCCTCACATTCCCAGTGCTTCCTTTGCACCCCTACATTGGAGTAAAAACCACAGTTTGTGGGGTGGTTGAGTTGGCAGCCCTAAATCCTTAAAGCCTTAATTTTGACTTCTCTTTTGATAGGCTGAGGGAAAATACAAAGATGATCCTGTTGATCTCC